ATAAATAAATAAATAAATAAATATAGACTTTTTGTGTTAGTTGGGTTTTTTTTCTTTAATGATATTATGACACAGTCCTTGAGGACCAGCAGCCTAAGACGAACTCTATTCTCCCGGACAATCAGTGGCCATGTTGGACAGGTTTGATGGTATGTATAGAAAGGGAATAGTACGGTATTATGTTGCTTCAATGTGTGATTGTGTCTGACCTGTTTGATGGTATTGAAAGGGAATGGTACATTATGTTGCTTCAATGTGTGATTGTGTCTGACCTGTTTGATGGTATTGAAAGGGAATGGTACATTATGTTGCTTCAATGTGTGATTGTGTCTGACCTGTTTGATGGTATAGAAAGGGAATGGTACATTATGTTGCTTTTGCCATGCCTGACCGGATTCCCGAAAGTCACATTGCTTATGTTGTTGGAGGCATGATCATTATAGAACGAATCAAACTGAAGCTCAGTTATATACTATTCTTGATTATCTGACAGGTACCGTCTCAGGGATCCTTACGGGCCGAAGCCTTGCTTTGGTGTGAATTTTACAATGGACAAGTGTGGACACGTGAAAGTGGGAGACCCCATCTATGCAACAGTTTCGTAAGCAACTGGTACCCCATCGAGGATAGTAACTAACACAGTATAATATTCTAGATAGAAGTGTCTGCATTGTTATTTAGCGCTTTGTTGTATCATGTGTTATAATCAGCGTTATGTGAATCACCGTCATGTAACTGCAGCTTGCTTTTTTTCCGGCCGCAAATCTGTCTATGTCGTATCTGCTTTCTTTCATATTATTATGTTATCGCATCACATATAACTTCCTTGTAAGTGCTTTTAAGCTCATTGGGGGCGTTCATTCTAAGCCATTTAACAAAGTTTAAAGTTAAAGACTCGAGCATTTTATTGACCACAGAGATTGTTCAATTCTGTTAACTTTTTCTGAAAAGTGTTTGATGGTTTGTCATCTAGTGCAACATTGTCTTTTTTTCTGCTGCTAATCGGACATAACAATAAGCTGTAAGCTGCGTCCCTAAAGAGTTGAGCTGAAATGATGCACGGGCGCGGTTCGTCCATAGAGCACGGTCGTGCAGTGCCGCCCAAAATTTGTTAATGTTCTATTACGTAAAACACCCACAATAATAAAATAAAAGAAGCCAGAAATAAACACTAGAATCTAGCCAAATATTATATCAATGCAAGGTCCTCACAGGCGCCATAACTGTCATTTCTGTATCTATAGCGCCGTAAAACATCTACTATGCCTTGCCAAAGTCCACGCCCTTTAGCTAAACATAATAGGATATTCAACAGTGTAACCTGACCTATAAATCGCTCTTG